AAATAAATATTTCTAACTGTGCTGCAGTATTTAGTCCCAAAACATATCTGTCCATATGAAGTAAATTTTATTTATACTTTCTGCTTTGCTGTCTAGGAAGATTTATTAAGTAATTCCTGACTTCCTGTGTCCCTGGGATGTAAAGAGGAAGTTACACATATGCCAATTTCTTTTAGCCACTCTTAGAAACCTGAAAGGCTAAAGAAAATACACATTTTAATCCTTTAAGCTCAAAATAATGGATGAAAACATCCCAGAACACTGGAAAAAAATGAAATCTAGACAAGTTATTGTTTCTTATAATAAGTGCATTTGTTCTTTGATTGAGGGTGTAAAAGAGACATTTTGCCAATGGAGCAAGACAATTTACACTTAAAATATGAAAATACAATTGCATTGTCTTGTTTTAAGTACATATTATCTAATTATCTTATTTTAAGATTAAAATACTCATTCCATTGGCAAACTATCTAATTTATCTACTCAAATTAAAGGTAAATACACTTAATTTAAGAAATTTTTACTTATTTCTAGATCCTTTTTCCAGTGAAGCTGAACCTCAACAGGTTAAAGAAGCAAATATTGAAAATTGTTAAAAAGCTGCAAATGTTGAAAACTAAAACTCCCTGAAAAAGAAGTAGATGATGAGAGACTGTCTATGACGCTGTGCGGGAGCAGAGTTAACACCACTGCGCAGTTTGGATGTCTGAAGTTTTGCTGTGTCAAGCCATAGTCGATGGAACCAGTAGAGCCGTGGACATATCCCATCCCTTTCCATGGTTCTGGGAACCAGGAAGTCCTTTCTTTAGGGTAGATTTCAGGCAATCAATCTGATTTTCAGCTAAGCTGAGCTGGGTGATACAGAAAAAGTCCAGCAGAGGTAGCAAAAAGTGTGGATTTACTTTTCTTTTTCAGCTTCTGGTCTTTTAATTTGTTTCTTGGTCTGATTTTCTTTCAGCCCGGAATGACGGCTGGACGGAGCCATTCGTGGTCCGGTTTCTGGGCTCGGTCCAGGTTCCCTTCCACATGGGAAATGATGTCCTGTGTTCAGCAATGCAGAAGGTACAAAAATCCTGTAATCAATTGCAAGAAAAATGGACGGGTTCACAACCTTCAACAGGTCCTCCAGTCTTTGGCTTCTCCGATAAACCCTGAAGAAAAACATCCTCATTTAGGGCTAAACTGAAGAATTAAAAAGCGCTGTGATAGTGGGGAGTGCTGGCTTAGTAGTTAGAGCAGCGCTCTTGTGCCCTGAGAAGGTTGCAAGCCCGGTTTGATCCCCACAGCCTGCACTCTGGGTTCCTGAGCAAGACCCTTAAAGGGGTCATAGAATGCAAAACGGAGTTCACATTGTCAGTGATGAATAACGATAGTTATTGAAATGGACGTACAGAGAAGTTCAAACCCTATCCACACCTCCTTTCTCTGCAAATCTCATAATTCTAAACTTCCAAAATAAAACGGGCGAATCCAAACGAAGCACCAAATTGACGTCAATTTGGGGATGTTGCCTTATTTGGTTCTGGCGTTCAGACCAGTCCACTAATGGCTGACTGGATCGTTGTACGTACCAGATTGACTCGGGCTGCCCGATTGACTCGGGGGGCCTG